TTTATAAGGTTTCTTATATGAAATAAATAAAGAAACTGTATCTCTCCGATGGACCTCTGTTCTTTTTAAATAATCTGTTGAAGTTTTAGCTACACAAATACAGCTGTTATCAGTAAAATATGGCAAGGTAAGGATTGGTTGAAATCTTCCCCGGCCAGATGTTTTCAACCGAGCTGGAATCTTAATTTCCATTCGTGTATCTAATTCTTCAATATTCCTAATATCAATAGCAGCTAGTGTTTGTGTCCGTTGACCTGTTGTTAGTGCCAAAAAAACCGCAAGTTTTTTAGACAATTGTTCAAGTGTAATCTTATCATGAGGCCACTACTTTGCAACTAGATCCAAAACTATCTGAGGATTCCAAGTTTTGTTATATTTTGGTAAGCATGGTCTTAACTTCGCAGCTCCTTTACAAAACCTCCGAATATCTGAGTTTTCACCAATTTGAGGTCCTAAAATCAACGATATTGCTGATCTAAAGGAATTTATTGATCCATAAGAAGCTCCAGCTTCAAATTCATGCGTAAGAAACAATAAAACTTGATTTGTATCAGCCTCAAAGACGTCTATTTTATTCAACCGACAAAATATCCACCATTTTTTCAGTCCAACATCGTATTGCTTCCATGAAGAATCTGATAATGAAGCCAAATTAACTTTTATTGTTTCTGAAGACATCCCTTTTGTTATAAATACTTGTTCGATAAGATTCCGGCCACCAGGGAAAGTTGCGACCAAAGTGGATGTAGCTCCCTGTTGGAAGAAAGTAAAAGATCATTTCGTGGTTTGAACACTATTGGTTCAGATTCAAAAAGTTTATAACACCAAGGAAACCAAGGCTGACTTGGCCAATACGGGATAACTAAGATTCCCCTGGCATGATCATTAATGATCTTTTTCATAACCCTAGGAACTATAGAAAACGGAGGAAAAGCATAGAAAAAGGTATCATACCATGACAGTGTAAAGGCATCTATTGCCACAGAATGTGGGTCTTTCCTCCATGATACATATTGATGACATTTTGCATTAACTCTGCTGGCAAACAGGTCTATTTCCGGTCGTCCAAACTTCCTACATATCATGTCAAAAGCTTCTTGACACAAGCTGTACTCATCTTCAGTTTCTTGCTGTCTAGATTCATAATCAGCAATTACATTCTCCTTGGATTTAATATAGGACACAAATATCCATAAATTTCTTTTTTCACACCATTGCCATATCCCTTTAGCAATTTTATTTAAGCCCGGAAACTGGATACCACCCATACGATTTATATATGATATGTCTGTGGTATTATCGATACGAAATAGAATATCGCGGTTTTCCAAATTTCCAGCGAAAGATTTCAAAGCCATAAAGGCGGCCTTCAGCTCTAAAAGGTTTATATGTAATGCACGTTCATCTAACTTCCAGAACCCATGTGTAGATTCTCCTCCACATACTGTTCCCCAGCCTGTACATGAAGCATCTGAGAAAATTTCAATACAATAATCATGACTGGTTATTGGTCTGTAAATATGCATTATATTCTTTTTCCACCAGTTAAGATCTTTCTCTACTTCTATTGATAAAGTCAGATAAGAGTTAAAATTTTCATTAGAACGTCTCAAGGCTAGGAACTTTTCCCTCTCCAAATCCTCCATATAATTCCATCCATATTTTGCTGCAGGACAACATGCTCCCAAGGTACCAATGATCGAGGCAAAATCCCTGATTTTATACCTTTTCCCAACTTGAAATTCTTTTAAAGCATTTAACATTCTTATACTCTTATCATATGAAAGTTCTACTCTCATCTGTGTTGAATTCAATATCAAACCTAAAAATTTCTGTCTTTGAAGTGGAATTAACTGACTCTTTTCTTTATTGAGGATAAAACCTAGTTTTTCAAGTAAGCAAACTGTTTGAACAATGTTATCCTTACAATCTTCTACTGTACCGCCCAGTAACAAAATATCATCAAGATAAATTACTGAAGTAAATCCCTGACTTCTCAAAAGGGTAACCACTGGACGCATTATCTTAGTAAATACGTAAGAAGCTGTATTTAACTCAAAAGGCAAACAGTTAAATTCATAAATACAACCATTAAATTTAAATCTTAAGAATTTTTTCGAATAATCAGCTATTGATATCAAATGATAAGCATCTTTCAAATCTATTGATGCCATAAAACAATTGGGTGTCAAAAGATGCCGAGCTGTTCGAATATCATCGAGCTTAAAATGTTCCGTATTAATGAATTCATTCAATTTTTTCAGATTCAGTATTAGTCTACTTGAACCGTCTAGTTTTGGAACCAAAAATATGCTGGAGAAAAATTGACCTTCACATTCCGTGACTTTTCCAATAGCTCCTTTATTCATTAAATTACTAATATGTTCTAATAAATGCTTTCTTTCCTCTATTGACCAAGGTCCTTCTGCTGGTTCTAAATCTTGAACTGGCTCTTGGGCGAATGGAATGACATAACCTTCGAGCCATTTTAAGACTACTCTGTCAGAGCAAAATTCTTCCCAGACTGGGACAAACATTTTTAGTCTGCCTGCTGACATACTCACCGATGGTGGCACTAGTGTCTCTTGTGAGACGAACATGTTGATGTCCTCGAATACTTCCGGTAACTGGATGGCCTTTGCTGCTGACTGCTGTGTCGATACTGCCCCCCCCCCGTCCCCATCTGACGTGTCGTCATATGCCGAGGAGGCGGTCTCAAGTTTTTTGCAGGATATCGAGCTTTAGTTGCTTGAGGCCTTTCTTGATTCTTTTTTATCTGTTTCAATTCCTTTGCGGATTTTTCTAATAACTTTACATTCTTAAGCGTTTCACCAAACTCCTTTCCATATAACCATTCATCTGGTTTAGTCTTCCTTAGTGTATCCTTCATGACCGGATTTATATTTGATACTATAATAAGGCGACGTGTTAATGTTTTATTCCTTTGAAGATCTACAAGCAACCGTGTTACATCTCTTAGCGTTGCCACCAAGCTTTTCTTCGGTACTTCTTCCTTGGACAACTTTTCAATTAACCCGCCTAAAGCTGCAAGACAGACTGTCACCTTTTGTTGTTTTTCAGCAATTTTCGAGTCTCTGCTTATAATTGGAGCTTCAATAGATTTCTCCACTCCAGTATTTAACTTGGGAGCTTCATATGCTCCTAAATTTTCTGGAATTTCATACTTTGTTAGTAATTTCTCCAATTCTTCTTTAGGAAGACCAACTTGCAATATTGGATCCCAACGATCTAAAATATCTTGATGTATAGGAGGGCAACGCTTTGTTTTTATATTGAGGCATGGTCCTAAAGCTTCCAATAACTCTACGTCTAAATGATCTACTGACGAAGTATCTGCTTCTTTATTTTGAGGATCTATTGATTGACCGTTCTCTTTGGGATCTTGTTTCTCTGTCTGATCATTTGTTTTACTTGGATCAGCTATTTTATTTTTCCGAAGATGATGGACCTCTTCTTCGCTATCACCGCCATGGCCTGAAGATGATGATGAACTATAACTTGAACCTCGATCAGCAGATCGCCGATGTGGTCGTCTATAGCAACTGCTATCCGAAGAATCACTTGATCTGCTCCTATAACGCCTCTCCTTCCGGCTTCTCTTACCTACAGAATAAAAGATTTTAATAGTCCTTGACCATAAAGCCGACTTGTGCTTAACAAAATAATAACTTGTTTTTGAGGAAGCTTGTCCTCTTGTGTTTAGAGAAAACTTGTTCTCCTGCATTTAGAGAAAACTTGTTCTCTTTGTTTCTAGACAAACTTGTTCCCTCCCTCTGAACTTGTCAGAAAATTATTTGCGGAACTTTACTTAAATGTAAATGATATCGTTACTTGAACGTAAATAATATCGTTGCTTGAACGTAAATAATATCGTTACTTGAACGAGTGATAAAGTTATACAACCGTCTTCCTTCTGGCTGCCTCTAGAACAAAAGTGAGGTTATACTTACGTTTATGTTACAAATACTCCAAATCTCGCTCTTGCTCGAGCAATTTTCTTTTTAATCTTTTCAGTCTTCTTTCAATACGAGAATCTCTTTCACTATCCGACCTGTAGCGACGCCTTCCCATCTTACTTCAATTAATTTCAATATGCACGTGGCTTTACTCGGGCACAAGAAAAAGGAATGAGGAACATGGATGCTAGCCGTTGGGACGATCGCCAACACGCGGGAATAGGTAAAGTTAAAAATTACTTTAAAAAATGTGGCTTGAAAGGGCACTAGGCAGGGGTACTACATGGTGATCTTCGGAGGAGGCGCAAAGTACAATTATTCTATTTCTGTTTTGAAATATTTACTAGGAATCAAACTTAAATTATGTTTAAATTATTCTTAATTTCTAACTAAAACAAATTTCTCGAGTGCACAAAAAACCTCTAGAATTCTATAAAGCTTATGTCAGAAGACCCTACCAACCTAAGAGCGTTCAATGTTACTGACTTTTTATAACAAAGTCGAATGAATGTATCATGGGGGAATGCGAGATTAAATACGTGGTTGAAAGTCTGACGTAATAGTTAGGGTATAAAAACTTGATAAATCAAAGATCCCAAATATTTGTGTGCAATTAAACGACAATACCTCAACGAAAATACTATCATTTAATTCTCCTGGAGTGCTTCAAAACTACAACATACGTGTTCCCTTCTTGTTTCTACGTTGTTACAGTGAATATAATAGATGGCAAAGAATACTATCGTGTAGTTTACTTGTGTCTACCAGGAGAAATAAGAAGTCTCTAAAACACGTATGTTCCACTTAGTAAACTCGAATGAAAGTCTCAGAAGGAAAAAGACTCAGAAGTATTTGTACTAAAGCACAGTGGAACGTCCATTTACCACCAAAGTCTCAGTTTCTTTTATCCTTTCTTGTGTTCACTTTGGACTGTGCTTATGGAAGTAAAAATATAACTTTAGTCCGACAAATTGTCGTCTCATTGTTATTTTAGAATTATAATAAACATGATAATTAACTTACCGGTAGTCATCGCCTTCTCCAAGCTGTCTAACCGCAATAGGAAATTCACTCGGGCCGTGAGCTTTTAATAACTCTTGTAGTCGTACTAATCCTTCATTATTTTCATAAATTATAGTGAAACTCTTCCAACCCCATGCTTTCACAAGATCCACGTACGCCTGGAATCAGATGTATTTTCTTTTTTAATGATAAAAAAAATGGAATATTCGTTCAAAAAATTATAATATATCCCATGTAAAAGAGAAAATATTTCTCCGGAATTCCAAAAGAGTTCTGTTCAAATAATTCAAAATTAATCTAATGTAATTTGATCACCAAGAAAAATGTATTTATTTATTCTATTTATAATGTACAATTTACTGTTATTATGATATATAATCTTACATTGTTAAAAATTTCATTTTTTATAACCTAGATTATAAAATGAACACTATGATTAAATTTTTATACGAATCTTCATATTAAATTATTGAAAATCATAAAATACGAAGAAGTTTATATTGATCCCATTGTCTTACAGCTTTTTTGATTTATTCTCATAATCGTTAATAAAACTATCTTCTCTACCTATAACACTAGTATGCCATTCACACCAATTTTACTGATGCGAGTGAACATTTATCTGAGCAAAATAAATGTTAATTGAACATAATTTTCATTCATTTTTGAGATATCACCTTTACATTTAATAACTATTTCTTCTACTAAATGACAGTTTATAGTTCCGTGAATATCGAGTGTGTATTGTTTCCTTGAATACCAGTTTATTGAAATTGAAGGGACAACATCTGAATTCTTTTAAACTGTTATTTCGTAAAAGAAAAAACTATTAAGTGTGAAGGTGTTATTGTAAAAAATAAGTGAAAATTATGTTTAATTAAGAATTGTTGTGTCTCAAATAAGTTTTTATCTGCATTATTTAAGATAAAAGTACATCAGTGTTATTAGTGGATGAAGCAAGAAAATATTTTTATAATCAAACAATTGAATTAATACATGAATTGTTCTGTAAGACAATGAAATTTATAATATCTTTTTTAGAATTTTCAATCATGTAATATTATTATTAGTACAAACTTATTCATAAGTTGAGGGCTTTTTTAATTGATAGATAGGAACAAAACATTAATTATTGTTTAAAAAATTTTTTTAAATTCTGGAATGTTAAGAATTGTTTTCTGAACAATTTCCCGTTGGAGTTTTAAAAAACATTCATTTTTTTATCTCCTATGCTATTGTAAACGCCCTTTTTTTCACTTAACTTTGCACATCTGTACTTTTGAACAGTTTTTGGACGATTTATTGCCATTTTCGGAACGGATAGGATTTTTCTTGTTCTACAAATGGCTATCTCATTTTTTAAAAGAAATTTGTTTTCCCGAAAAAAATCAAAAACCCGTTTTTTGTAACCCTTACTCCTATTTAAGGGCTGAAGTTATTAATATTTGAAAAAACTTTTTTTAGCAAACTTTTCTAATTTCATCTGGAGAAGATGAAAAAAATTTTTCAATTTTTTTCAGAAATTCTTATATTTAATTTTTATAAACAATTAATTCCTCCAATTAATCCCTTCTTTTAATTTTTTTCCTCAACCTTACTGCAATCTTGTATTTTTATTTTTTTATAGCAAAAATTTTGCTTATGATTTTCGTTAATTATTTAAAAATAATTCTCAATTTAATCCACTGCGTCTCAGCGGGGGGATAGAGATATAGAACTTCAGCAGCATGTCTTCGAAACGAATTTCTTTACACGGGTAATAGTTATTTGAAGATCATTAAAATTCGAAACATTTAAAATGAAATTGATACTATTATTTTGCATGCTAAGCAAGGCATTATACGCCGTAAATGAATTATATTAATTTTGTAAACACTTTGAATACACATAAAAGTTTGTGAAAAATTTACATATATAATATAGTTTGTTAATAGCGTTACGCATGTATCACATATCAAATGGATGAATTTCACACGAGTGTGGACCATCTCGGAGTTACCATGTACAATATTTTTTCATGTCAATTAATTATAATTGAAAGGATAAGCTTCGTGCTGAAGTATCGACCACATTAAGTATCTAGGTTGATGACTATAATAGTCAAAAATTTACAAATTTTTTTTGATCACAAAAATGGATCTTTTCTTAAATACGCTATTAGAGAATCAAGATTTGTCTCTTTGAACTTCAACCAAAAAGATTATTTCCATTCTTTATAATCCTTGCCTTGTGGTTTATAATTTTCCAGCACACTATGAAAAAAAGAATCGTCCGAAAAAAAATAAAAAAAGAATCTTAACTATCAACACATTCCCAACTTTTTATCATTAAGGGAGACACAGACGAAGTTTTCCGGAAACACAGAGGAGATTAAAGTAAGAAGTAATAAATGTCGAAATGATTACATTTGATTTAGAGAAAAAATTTGTGAGAATCAGTGAACATGATTTCCCTCGTGTGTGATAATTTATGAGATAACTAACCCCAGTATATTCAGTCATCTGGAATCATGTGTTCTCTTAATGTTTTTCAAATGTTATACTCGTTTCAAGAGTTAAGTTAAATCGAGTAATGTGCCCCATTAAGGTGAATCCGGGATGTGAATATTACGAAAGTTATCTTATTCAGCTGATTGTTAGGATTATTTCGAAAATGGTAACGATGAATATCATTTCAGAAACAAGTAAAAAGGTAAGCTCCGTGATACTGAAAAAAATTTGCAAAGTTATACCTTACCAATGAAAAATAACAAAAGTTGTTGCGGTAATTTTTATATGTATCGAAATGGCTGAAGTTTCATTGAAAATAAAATATATTTTTCGAACAATAGTAAACTAGATCAAATGCGAAAGCAAATTCCGGATGTTGAAACATAAAGTTTTAGCAAACTGTAATCGTGATATCTTTTTTGATGTAACACAATTATTTTGAACTATTTGTCTGTGTGAAATGTTAACTTGATGATTTTTTCCAATACTTGGAAAGCTCTTTCTGGTAATTTCTAGTAGATAGATAAAAAATTTGGATTAAGCTGAAATGATTAGCATATAAAATCTAAAATGAAACTTATTATTTAAAATTAAAATGATAAAAAAAATAATCATTTGCCCCAAATCCCAATATTGCCACTTTTCAACTCTGCCTGCTTAAAAATGAATAAAATAAATTATTCAGGAGGGGAAAATTCTGCGGCGGGTAAAAACCTCCAAAACAGGCTAAAATAATCTAAATTAACTAATAACGTAACTTTATACAATTCAAAGAAAATCTTAAACACTAAGAGTTCGTCAGTTAAAATTTAAAACTTCAAAAATTCTTCTTTCCTTCCTCCTTTTCCATAGAAAAGAATCCGGGAAGTATAGAATAAAAATTTACAAGAGCTGGAAATACCAAGAATCTCGGAGGCCAAAAAGAGGGAGATCTAGACAGATTTTAAGAATTACTGCAGCATCAAAGTTGATAACAAATCATTAATTTGAATTCAAATTCCGTGTTTATTTAATTGAATGGTCTCACCTCTTGGAGAACATTTCTCCGAATTGATAACCGACTATACATCCTATTCATATCAGACTCTTAAAATCACAAAAATTATAATTATCAATAATCCACCTTGCAAGGAATTTTCAAAAACATAGGTTTAATAGTTTAAATCAACTATTCGAAATTCATAGGGTACCATGGACACCTAGTGCCTAATTTAAATTCATTTTGGCCATTAATGAAGAAAAGGTTAACGATACAAACACTCCCACTGTATATATCCTATAGTAACTCCACGAGAGCGCTCCAGGACAGACATAGTAAGTTTAAATGAAAAATCAAATGGTCAATGAGAGCCAACGTCCTCAGACTGGAAGTTACAAAAACCTTGAATTCAACAGAAATTAGGAATCCAGAAAAAGTCAAAATAACTAATCATCTTCATAAGGAGCGAGTCTATTCACATGAACAACTTTCAAATGACCATTCGGAATTTTATGAATTCGAAATATGAAGTTTTGGACATTTTCCTTCAGCTATTTTAGGGAAAAATAACCAAACCTTTTGACCGACATCAAAAGAAAGAACATTCAATTCCAAATCATACATTTACTTACGTTTTTCTGATTTAATTTGTAACTTATCACGTACATTATCGTGAACAATCTTTAATTGTTCACGGAGATTAAAAACAAAATCAGTTGTGGAATTATCCTCCGAAGAATTATCTGAAGGATTAATTCCCTTCAGAAGATTAATAGGCAACCTAAATTCACGACCTAACATCAACAAAGATGGTGAGTACTCAGTAGTTTCATGTCTTAAAGAACGATAGGCCAATAAAAATAAAGAAATCCAACGATCCCAATCTTATTGATTTTTATTAATAAATTTTAGTAAATATTGAAGAATAGTCTTATGCAACCTTTTAATTAAACCACTAGATTGAGGATGAAGAGATGTAGTTCTTGTCTTCTTAATACCAAAAAGACTCATCACCTCCTTGAAGATTTCAGATTCGAATTCTCGACCTTGATCAGAATAAATTTCAATAGGAACACCATATCTACAAAATATTTGAGTTACTAAAGCCTCAGCAATAGTAGAAGCTTGATGATAATGATGAAAATAATCTGTAACAACAAATAAAAATTTATTTCCAGAAGAGGTTTTAGTAAGAGGACCAAAAATATCAATGGCAACCCTTTCATAAGGGGAACCAACATTATAAATTCGAAGAGAACCACATGTTCTTTAGGATTTTTGAAAGATAGTAACCAGCTAAGAAAAGCATGATCAGATCTAATTGTAAATCGTTTACCGAGGAGAAAATGACGAAAATGTTTACTCGCAATAACAACAGCTAACAATTCTTTTCTAGTAACATAATAATTTCTGTTTTTGAAAAAATATAAATTTCTCAGCATTAATTTAAAGCCCTGATTGTAAAAGTCTTTCAAAAAAATTTTGAAGATGAATAAAATATTCATCAAGACTCTTACTGAAGATAATTATATCATCTAAATAAACTAAACAAATTTTGCCGAGGAGACCTTGTAAAACTATATTCATAAGTTTTACAGAGGTGGCAGGAGCATTACATAAACCAAAAGGAAGTATTTTAAATTGCCAAAGTTTACTTCCAATACAAAAAGCAGTTTTAGGTCTATTTTAC